TCTACCTTCTCTGGTTCTTGGGTAATAATTTTCCCGCCAAAATTTTTGTGGGGACGTTAAGACCCATGCGCACATGAAAGCCGAATTTGAATTCACGAGGTCATACGTGGGCAGAAGACAATATTTTAAAATTTTAATTTTCCATCCTCCATGGTTCCCAAGTTGCTTTCACGGAAGATGCTTTCGCGGATTTTTCCTGCTAAAACTTTCACAGAATCGTACGTGGTACCCAGACGTAGGGGAACGTTGAATTTAAAGTTGCGCGGTTGTACTTGGGTAGAGAACATTGCCGTAAAATCTCGGCTTCATAGCTCGTGTGATTTTCGAAATACTTTCACCACCAAAATTTTCACGAGGCCGCACATGATGCCCAGGTGCGCAAGAAGGCAGAATTTAAATTTGGGAAGTTGCACTTGGTCGAAGAACATTATCCTAAAATTTCAGACTCCCAAGTTTCATGATTCCTGAGACAGAAATTTTCTCCACTAAAACTTTTACGGAGCCGTACATGGTACTCAAAGGCAGGAGAAGACTGAAATTAAAGTTGCCGGGCCACACTTGGGCGGGGAAAATCACTCCAAATTTTCGGCTTCATAGCGTTTGCAGTTCCCGAGTTAAAAATTGCGGACAAGATGCACCGGACACATACACACACATACACAAAGACAACCCTGTAACAATATGCGTTTAGTGCAGCTACTGCGTAGCACAAAACGCATAAAAAATCAGTAGCGGCGTGCACCACTGTGGCCGTTGCGATCATGCGTTTTGCGCAGTTTCGACCAGTAGACGTTTGCCTTTTATCACTGTTTTACACTTTGATCTGTGAAAAAATAATCGATATGCCGCTTGGTTCCTAAGCTGTGAAATTTCCCATTGAAAATTTTATTTGTAGCACATGAAACGCAGACGTACATGAAAGCTGAATTTGAAACCTTGGACGGTGAAAATTGTTCTAAAATTCTCTGGTTGTCTGGTTTCCGAGTAATTTTCGTGTCAAGGCATTCATGTAATCGTAATGAGGAATCGTGATACTAGTTTAAGTTTGCTAGGCTCCCTCATAAACAAAAGACATCCTCCTAAAGTTTTGAACTCTCCAGCTTTTCTCGCTCCCGAGATAATTTTTCTCGCCACAACTTTTGCTGGGTTGTACATGGGACTCAGGCGTACTTAAAAGCTGAATTCGAATTCGCGGGGTTGCACATGAGCAGTGAACATTACTGCAAAGTTTCAGCCCTCTAGCTTTCGTGGTTCCCGAAATAGTAATTTTCCCCCCAAAACTTTCACAGCGTTGTGCGTGATACCGGGGCGCATGGGAAACCTTAATTTAAATTGGCTGGGCCGTTAGGGTGTAGAGGACATTTCAATTCTCTAAAATTTCAGCCTCCTAGTTTTGGCGGTTTCTGAAATAATAATTTTCCCGCCGTAATTTTCATGAGGCCCAATTTTCGTGGTCCCGAGATAATAATTCCCCCTGCAAAAACTTTCGCTGGGTCCTACGTAGTACCCGGAAGTATGCGAAGGCTGAATTTAAGTCTGCGACGTCGCGCGGAGCGAGGTACATTCTATTAAAATTTCAGCTTCCTAGCTTCTCAGGTTCCCGAGTTAAAACCCCCGGATAAAATGCATTCGGAGCACACGCACACACAGAGTTTCGACAATATGCGTTTTGTGCAACCCTTGTAGCAAAAAACGCATGAAAACCGCACTTAAAGTCTTTTTGGTTATTTAAAAATTCGGGAAAAGGCCGCGTTTGATCCAGACTATAAGGATAATTTCGGACAAACAGTTCTCAAAATGATTACTTTTAACTTTCACGTAAGTTCCTGTAACTGATTACAAGTGTTTCTCTGGAGCAAAGAAATTTATTTTACAATGAATATCACATACGTTCAAGAATGAGCTGCACGACAATTTGCCTTTGAGCATTTACTTGCCAGGAAATTTCACAATCTCGAGTATCTAGATATTTAAACGCTAAAAAGAGGGAGAAGTGGCTTTTGAAGGAATGTTCTCTTTTTTTTGTATTTCCCCAGCAAACTGGATTCCTTTTAAAGCAGGAAATACTCATTTGAATGGCGAAAATATTTCACAGAATGACAAATTGCCTTAAAAGTCTTTTCGTTTGTAACAATTTTGAGCAAAATTGGCATTTTTAGAGTCTGAGCAATCAAGGCAAAAATTTTAGCTGCAGAGGAATTACTTATTAGCTCTAGCTTTATAGATCAAAGCGAAGTGTCGTACACGAAACAAATGAAAACAACAAATGCACATTTTGCTACGAAGAGAGCAAATACTAAAACTCAGCTGGGCTCAGCCGCGCAAACTGCACTTACTTGCGGGTTTGGGTACGAGCTGCTAAAATTATAGTTGTTGGTAAGCACTGGATTTTTTCTTTTCAGTTAGGGTTTAGAGTACAAGCACAAGCCTATTGACTTTCTCGCAGCGTCTAGTCTCATCCTTGTCATCATAAATCTATAAAATCTTGCCCTTCCCCCTCCCGGCTCACCTCTCCCCCTCCCCCTCCACCCCTTCCCTTGTTCGCCATTGTTTTCAATTCTTACCTCTAAGCAAAGTTTCTGTCTTTTTCCTGTCAATATCTTAGCCCCCTCCCCTTTGTTAAAACGAACTGTGACCCGAATCTGTACCCGCTGCCTTCTCATTTTCCCGCCCACCTCTACGCGTCACTACGTCATCACAACTCGCTCCCAACCTGGCCAAACCTAGTTTTGGATATTGTCACTTACAGAAGCAGATGTTTTTTTTTTTTGCAGAAAGTGTAATTTTGTTTTTCAAAAAAAAAAAAAACGAACGCTAAAAATGATCCCTTTTTTGCCTAAGACTTGGAATTGTTTTTTCCCCTTTCCCACGTTTTCGCCATAAATCCTGATTAATTGTAATATAGCATGGTAAAAATTACTAAAAGTGTTTTTAGTAAAAAACGAGACACTGACTGCTTCTGCTGTCAGCAGCGCTAAGAATTAAAACCTTCCAAAATGTATTTGAGGCAGAACTGATAAAATTTCCTAAACAAATTTTCCGCTTTATCGTTATAACGATCCTGTAATACTTCGCTAATCATATGAAGGAATGGCTCTTCCATTTGCTGAAACTGGCTACCGTCCATTCCACTGACCTGAAGTACATATAACATTCACCGAAATAAAACTAGTCACGACAACATTAGTTTGTAAGCACAGAAGTACTGCCAGATGTTGGAACAAAAGAGACACATTTGTTCTGCTGTAGGGAACTGACTATGATGCAAGATGCCTCTGGTTGCAGCGAGTCATATTCAGAATGTACGCTCTTCGAAACTGTCTCACATGTCCAATTTGTTGTTTCTTTATCGAAGCTATTAACTCGTTCATCTTCTAATTCTTCGTAGTTTTGCCAACAAAAACCTTTCAGACGCAAAACATTCAGTACCACACTACCGAAATATACCAGTGATACGTATAAGACTACATCTTGTTCACGGAGGATACGAATCTCATCTTATATTATTTTGTCTTTTATTATCGGAAAAGTGTGTATTCGTTAAATAAAATAAGCTCAGTCTGTTCGTTAAACAAAGTAATACATTTATTTGAGTGATTTTTACGAAGCGAACTGGATTAAAATGAAATCTTTATTGTGCGCCTCAGATGCATGTGCACACCCCTCATAACTTTATCAAAGAATGCATTGATGCTTTCATAAAGCAAAAGACTTCGAGGGCTACGACCATTTGTCGTTAATAACAGCTTGTGCTAGTGGGCAGATACATCTGGAACTTTTTATAGCTAACTAACGTGGAGAAAACACAACAGTGGACAGAAGTTGTAAAAATCGTTGTGGTGTGCAACAATAATCAGACGACCCGTAATATAATTCTTTTTAAACTGTCCTTTGCTGAATTTCACTGTGCTTATACAGTCATGAAACACAGAACATTGCGAAATGTGCTCATGGAAAAATTTGGATTGCCTGCTATTTAGAAGCAAGCTGCAAGTCGAATAGCATGGATCAGCTGCTAGCCTATTAGCTACCTGATTAAACCAATTATTTTTTCTTTCAAATCAAGTTCATTAATTTTTTCCATCACAATTGCTGATTTTTCACGTCACATTAATTCAATACAAGTGTGATTACTTTAGTCCTATGCATTTTTCCTACCGACGTAAGTCGTGAGCATGCATCTGACACGTCTGCCGGCTTTTCTTCCACCGTCGTTATCACATCATCGAACACCTGAAAGGAAAAATGATTCGTTTCCTAATGAAAAGATTTAACTCCGAAACTGTCGCAAAGCTAAAATTCTTGGAGAATAATCCATGATAGTGTAGAGTGTGGCAAATCTGGCAAACTTAGCTATGCTTTGAAATTTACACCCGACAGCAATTAAGTACTTAGTTCTGCGGCTAGAACACAGTAAAATTGCAAAAATTTATTGTTTTGAATCGGCGCTTAAAATGAAGTCTTGCTATCTGAGTTCAATAGAGAATGGGATGTTAAAAGCAGTCAGAGATGAGCATTCAATTTCCCTCTCCAGTTTAATATGATATAAGCATGATATAAAGTGAAAAACATTTTAAGGTTCAAACCGTAACATGACAACCTGAATTTCATTTTATTTTCTTTTGCCGAATTCTATAACTCCAGTTCCGAATTCGGCTCAGATCATTCAGTCCACCTGCTGCGAAAAACTTGCGAAAAGCTGGCAATTACAAAAACTCAGTTCGGCTCTGCTCGACTTGGTTCGGCTGATGATTGATGTGGTTTGGAATGCACTTTAGCATTTCTGCCAACGCTATTTCGCGGCATTGCTCGCCGGGACTGTTTAGCACTTTGCAAGACGCGCTGGGTAGCGCTACTATGTGTCTGGTGGTTGGATCGTGTAGCCGAGGGGTGTTGGGCGGGGGAATTGGACGTGGTCGAGAGTTTTAGTTGGTAGGTGCCCAGATACAGCTCAGGCGGCACGGATGAAGCAAGGATTATGGCGAGGAATGAAAGTGCTGGTCAGAAGTTCGGGACGATAAATGATGACAGTGGTTGAGGGATGATAGATTCCCCGATGCGGCTCTGAAGGCAGGGACTGGGGACAAAGTGGAGGAGGGGAACAAGGGTATTAGTTAGGAGTTCGAGGCAAGAACTGCAGACAGCAATAAAGGGAAAGAATAAACCAACACAGCACTACAAAGAAAAATAAATCAAAATAACCCCAAACTTATGGATAAAAGGAAAAAAAGCGAAATCAAAGAACTAGAACAAAAGCAAAGAAAGCAAAACTAAGCTAAATCCGAGTTTATGCGAATGGGAATTGTCTTACAAGAACCCGTCTTCAGTAAGCGGTTCCCGCATTTGTGAAGCTTATGCTTAGGTGAAGCTGAGGACAAATAAGTTCGACTGGATCTACATAAGAATTGTATGAAGTTCCATAATGTTGCCTCACGCAGCCTGCAGCCATGCACAGCAATTATACCTCTGTTTTTTTCCTTTAGTATCTCACAGAAGCAAAGGCTGACTTCATCTCCGTTTATCCAGCCTACATTGTTTTTGTTCACTTCATGGGACTTATTCGCTCTTAGCTTTACCTAAACGTCAATTTCACGTATAGGAAAGTCTGATGACGGATACTGATGAAATAGCTTTACCTAAGCATCAGTTTCATAAAGTTGAAGCCCCTTACTGATGATAAGTTTTTACAGGACAGCAAAACTTCAATTTCTTTTGCTTTTATTCATAGAGTCAGATTTGCTTTAATTTACTTTTTTTAGGTGCTGTTGTCTTTTTGTCTTTACTGCTGCCTTCAGTTCTTGCCTGGGGCTCCTGACTTGTATCCTCGTTCCCCTTTTCCATCTTGTCCCCAAATCTTGCCAGCGAACAACATCTAGCATTATTTCACCTTTTCCTACCCCAGGTAATCACGGTAAAAGCTAGAAGTACACTTCCTCATTCTTTCCATTCATCACTTCTTCCCCTTTCCTCTCCCCCCCCCCC